GACGTTTCGGGCCTAGACCCTTTTTTTTCAGAAAATCTGATTTTCTGAAGAAGGGTCTAGGCCCAAAACGTCAGCTTTCCTGCTCCTCTGATGCTGCTTGACCTGCTGTGTTCATCCAGCTCTATACCTTGTTATCTCAGATTCTCCAGCATCTGCAGTTCCTACTATCTCTCTAAGTCTGATATGTAATTGTTTTTAAGCTAAATGTTTTCAAAGTTCTCCGAGCTATTGGATCCCAAATTATCTTCAAATCTCGGCAGGGCATTTTTTTTTTTTTGCATCATGTAATATGCCTTCGCAGAATTTGCAATTATAGTGATGGCAAAAATCGGCAAATAACCTGTCTGACCCTTGTGATTTTAGCTGCTGTTATGACTGGACAAGTCAGATCCCAGACTGAAATCTACTTGCCAGATCATGTTTTATGTTGTCTTGATTTTAACAATGTTGTCTTGATTTTAACAATGTTGTCTCTTACTGAAGTGTAAGAACATAATGCTGCAGATTTCGCTTCAGCAATAAAAGAGTTTATCAACAATAGAAACAAAGATAAAATATAATAAGCCAAACTATCTACTTATAAATTCAAAGACATTAAAACATGGTAAAAGCGTAATTCCAAGTATCCTAAAACACTCCTTTCTAAATCGGAAAGGACAAACAACAGCTTTTCTTTAGTATCCTAGAATACACCATATATAGTATCCAAAAACATCACTCAAACTGTACTCGCACCTGAGTCTAAGTCTTTAATATCTCAGTAGGTTTATGTCACTTATGTCTAATAAACTGGAAATACTGATAGCTGCTTTCTTGACCTATTGTACACTTGAACTCTGCTTTCGGTAACCTCTTCAGGGTCATATCCCAACATTTCTGTTTTGAGACTAATACTAATGCAATCTCTTCATTTTAGAGAATTAAATCTGCCATATTTACTTGGTTGGGTCTTTGCTGTGGGTCTGGAGTCACATAATGTGGTTGACTGTTAACTCTGGAGTTACTTAATTTTGGAGTGAGCAGTGATGCTGGCTTAGCTAACTATGCCCAGATCACATGAATACAAATTTTAAGAAAAGGTCTAGTTTGACTGCCTTCCCTTCTCAGGAGCATTGGTCTAAAAAACTATCTTTATGCAAGGACTTCACAGATCAGCTCAAAACAACAGAAAAATCTCTCTTTTTCTCTCTTTCTCTTGCTTTCTCTCTCTCTCTCTCTCTCTTGCTTTCTCTCTCTTTCTCTCTCTCTCTCTTGCTTTTTGTCTCTCTTTTTCTCTCTCTTGCTTTCTCTCTTTTTCTTTTTCTCTCTCTTATGCAGGAACTATATTGTTCCTGCATAACTTGCACCTCTGATTCTCTTTATGGATTTTGCTGTCCTAAAAGTGAATTTTCCAACCACTTCAAAGCATCAAAAGAACTTCATATTCCCTTCTTCTGAGAGGAGCCTAATGGTCTATCAGGTAGTGGAAGTCCACATAGTACAAAGGGAAAACAGTCCAGAATAATAGCTAGAACAATTCATACAGAGAAAGGAAGCCAGCAAGTAAGTTGTACATGACAGAAAAATAGAAATTGGTAGAAAAAAATACAAAACATGAAGAACAATCATTTGCAAAAAGAAAAGATAGGAGCAAAACAGGTGATAGATGAAAGTGAAATTAGGCCCAGGAGCAAACTGATTGATGAGACTGGAGCTGAGAGGGAGAGAGAGACTGAGAGGGAAGAGACACAAAATCTCAAGTCCAAGCAGAGCCATCAGTGACAAACAACTGGGTGTGTGATCATGTGCCAAAGACAGAGACACAATCATGTTAGCTTTAAGAGTAATAGAACTTTATAAACTTAATCGTCAGTTACATTTCAGGAAGGCAACAAACTGTTCACATTATAATATTTCTGACCTTGTGAAAAATTGTCTCTGTGTACCCTTAGCATTTGCATATTGGTATTTTTGTATCTAAATTTAAAGGCATTATCAGAGCGTCTAGGCAGAATTATAAATGGACAGATGGATACCTATGATCGAGGAGTCATCTTTACTGATGCTTTTGTTGCTCAGCATAAAGCACGGATTCGTGGACTTTTCAGTGCAATAACCAGGTATGATTCATACTATCATACTCTCTTCTGTATTGAGAAGTGAATGAATTAGTGTTCAGATTAATCCTTGCAACAAGACTATAACACAAAGAAGTAATAAAGATAACATGCCTATTCTAATTATTATTAGGCATGGATCAGTTTACTAAAACATATTTTATATGAATGCGATCTCACCTTACACTTCCTCTTAATGTAAGTACCAGAAAATAACTTGTTGTCCTAAGAATGTCTTCTCTTTTAAATAGATGACTACCAATTTTACATCTGTCATTTTGTATTATCAGTTATCAGTTATCAGTTCAGGATGAGTTCTAAGGTGTCAGTGAAATTGGAAAAGTGTATAATGTCAAGTTTATTTTGTACAGATTATGAGTTGGAGAGAATTCCCATGGCTACTTCTATTGTTCTGGTGAATTAGTACTAAAAGGAATGCCCCTGTCTGCAAGGAACAAAGAACAGTTCAGTCTTTTCAGCCTTATTAGGCTATCAGTTAGATTTTTAGCAATCTCTTTAACATTTTACACCAACTACACTGTAGAGAAGTATTGTATTCACCATAAAGAAGAATATAGGTGCGGAGGTAAAGAGGGGAGCTGTGATATACTTGAACAGATTAACATTGAGGGGTGATGGATTTACCAGACTTGAAAGTGAATATAACCTAGGCTCAGATAAAATGAACTCGGGCTGCTGTGGGAGGCAAGGGAGGAGATTGAAGATGTTCTGATAGCAATTTTCAAATCCTTTTTGACCACAGGACGGATGCTACAGGACTGGCAGGCAGCTAGTGTGGTACTACTATTCAAGAAGGGTGGTAGGAAACCACAGGCAAAGGAGTCTGACATCCGTGCTAGTGAAACTATTGGGGAAAACATTAAGGGATGTAATTAATCTCCACTTGGAAAGGCATATATTGATCATGAATAGTCAGCATGCCTTTGCCAGGAGCAATCATGTCTAACAAATGTGACTAACTTTTTTAAGCAGGTGGCTCGCTGTATAGTTGGGGTTAGTGCACTTGATGCAATCGATATGGACTTCAGTCGGGCTTTTCACAAGATTTTGCATGGTAGATTGGTTAAGAAGCTAAGAGTACATGGGATCCAGAGCATTTTGGCAAATTTGGATCCTAAATTGGTTTACTAGCAGAAAACAGAGGACGATTATCAAAGGGTGTTCTTGTCACTGAAAGCCTTTGTCCAGTGGCATACCACAAGGTTTGGTGCCGGTCCCCATTTGCTTATGTACATTTAATGATCTAGACATAAATGTAGGAGGTTTGAACAGTTATAGGAAAATTGGTGTGGTAAATAGTGAGGAGAGATGCCTTCAACCATAGGACAATATGGACAGGCTGGTTGAATGGGCTGAATAGTATCAAATAGAATTTAATTCTGAAAAATGAGAGTTGATATTTTTGCGAGGACTAACCAGATAAAGGAGTACACATAGAATAATAAAGGAGTACACCTAGAGAATGCAGATGATTAGACAGACCTTGGTGTTTATGTCCTTGATCCTTAAAAGCAGCAGAACATGAGATAAGATGGTTGAGAAAGCACATTGGATATTTTCCATTATTAGTCAAGGCCTGGAGTGCAAGGAGACTATTATGGAACTGTATATAATGTTACTTAGGTCACAGCTAGATTATTGTGCAATTCTTGTCACTACATTGTAGGATATGATTTAACTAGTGAGGTTACAAAGGAGACTCAGGATGTTACCTGGAAGGGGATGGTTTTCTTTGAGAAGAAAATAAGGAGGATTTGATTGAGGTATACAAAGTTCTGAGGAGCGAAGATAGAGAGTAACGTTATACTTTAGAAGTGTGATCACTTAATAGGTAGAACATTTGTAATGTAAGGAGCAGGAGGTTTAGAGGGGGTTTGAGGATCTTTTAATCAGTCATGCGTGATGCAGATTGTCTATGGCCTCTAGACACAAGCTAGCAACCTGGTCCAGGAAATCCTATGTAGAGAACAGATGCAAACTCATGCTCTGTATACCATTAGGCACAAGAAAAGTAGGATGTGTAATGTTTATGTTAGTCACTTGGTGGAAATTGAATTTCTTTTTCTTTCTTGGTAACTTCCTTCCCTTGAAATTCAAAAGGGCACTTAGTGAGGTGTTGCTCCAAGGCTATTTTGGTACAATTTTTTATAATTATCTAACTAGTTAATGGACTGATTTCTGTAAATTTGGGTATAATAAGTGTCTTGGTTTGGAAAGCCACAATAGTTTATTAATCGTGAGTTTTTAGGGATGAATTTGTTAAGCATGAACCAGAGGGGCCAGTGTGTTTGAGTTCTGTACTTGAAATGTAGTCAATTTTAAAATGAGTTTTTGATGTTTTTTGTCAACAGGCCAACACCAATAAGCTCTTTGATAACTCAGTATAAATTTCAGGAACATCTTCTTTACTGTAAGTTTGCAATGGAATTTCATTGTTCTTGAGAAAAAGAATTAGTAGTTAAATACAGTTTATTTATGTCTTGTGTTGAGCAACCTTTGAAGCAGGAGGGCTGGTGATACTGTTCAGTTGAGAACATTGCACTCAAGTATAATAGTCTATTGAACAAGAAATCCTACTAGAATCATTTTATTGTCCGGTCAAACCACATCACAAGTTGGGAAACTTGGTTTGTTGTGTTTTTTATTGCCTTAACAAAGCAGGGACGATATTTTTGTTTTATTGTTTGTCCAGATTCTTTGGTTTGACTATAATAAATTATAGGTCACTTGAGTCTGAGAAATCTTTGAACTATCTCCCAGTATGAGTACTTCACACAAACCTGATTTTGGATTTGGCACTGAACACAGATGGTAACAAAATAATAATTTCCTAGTGGCACAATAAAGAGATACTGCTGAAACTAAAGCCTTGAAGCATGTGGATTTGATTTGTACATGTTTCACTCTCTTCCAGTATTGCCACTCTTTTTCTCAAACCTAAATTTATCGCCTTCATTTTTAAAAACAAAACCTCAACCTTATGACCTCACTGTAGTCTTAACCGTACCATCCTCCTCCATCAAATGTCCTGTAATGTCTGTGGAGCTGCCTACATTTGGTTCACTCTTGTCTGTCCAATCGTAGAGCATCTTTACTTGCATTTTGATGCCAAAACCTGGAGTGTTTCCCTCAACCCCATCTTTGCCTCCCTCTACTTATTCACTTGTTCTCGCATTCTTTCTCTGTCTCTGTTCTCGCTCTCTCTCTCAATCATCATTAAACTTCTTATCTGTTCCATTCAGCCCAGTCTTAAGCTGAACGTCTGATCTCATATGTCTCGACCATAAAGGCTGTCTATTTCCACACTCCTAATGTAGCTTGCCACTACTCTAACCTCAACCCAGCTATTGTTGAAAACTTCACCTATTCCTTTATCATCTGCAGGCTCAGTTCTTGTCAAAAGAAAGCAACAGTTTTCAACTGTGGAAATCTGAAAATTAAAACAGAACATGATGGAGTGGTTCTGATGAAGGGTCATCAATCAAAAACATTAACTCTTTTTCTTCCTAAATGATACCTTAATTACTGAATATTCCCTATATTTTCTGTCTATTTGAATAGTGTGGAGCTTCCTAGCTGACCCCTTATCCACCATTCTGTTTACCCCATTATCATGTGATCTCTCTGGTCTTCACTGGCTGTACTTTATCCCGAGTTAAGATTCTTATTTGAATGTTTAAATCCTTTCTTGACCTCTCTTCCTCATTTTTCAACATGAGATCCTCCACAATCGATCAATCTCTCTGGAGCATTAATACTCCACCTTACTATTTGGCTCCAGATTCAGAATTTTCCAGCTTCAACCCTTCACCTTCCCTGTGTTCCTTCATGGTTTGTCACTCCATAGCTTGTGACCTCCTGAACCTTCTGTCCTTGAAAAGTTCTTTATTCACATGTCTTGGGATATTTCCTTTAACCCTCATCCCACCCTTAGTTCAGTGCCTTCAGCTATCTATGTCCATTCCTCAGAATTCCCTTTGAAATCCCCTTCACTTACCTTTCCTTTAATACCCCCTTTAAAACTCAACATCTCTCCTTCTTAATATCACCTTTTTTAGTGCAGCATTCATGTATTTCTGATTGTGGCTCTTGGGAGAACCTTGGAATCTTTTCCTACATTATTAGGCATGATAATCTTACACAAAAATTTACTCTTATTTGAGTAAATTCTTGATCATGATAGATTGAGGAGAACAAGAAAGATTTTATTTGCCATAGACGATTAATTGAAACTGTGCAGTACCTAGTTTTCTCAATAGATGGAGCTATTATCTGCTAGAAACCTAGATGTTCATAAAAATGTACAAAATAATACAGGAATAGCTGTTTTGGTCCCTCATGCCTGCTAGTGGTTCAGTAAAATCATGGCTGATCTGATTATGGCCTCAACTCCACATTCTCACCAACCTGTCAGCACTAGTTGCTTCCAGAATATTGTTCCTTGCTTCTTCTCTGACTATTCCCTCTTCTTTGATTTTTGACATTTTTATATTTTGTTACATGTTTATGAGGTTCAATAGGACCAATGATGAAATGCTGAGTGCCTATTACTCTGATGTTTACCAACTGTGGTTTGTGGGATACTGATACTTCTTTAAAACAATGGACAAGCATAGGATTAGACCAAAGTCAATGTGATTCCAACCAAACAACTTACCACTTGATATGATGCAATGATTATAGTTCATTATGATTTTTATTTATGTAAATTAGGCAAGCCAGTGCCAAAGCATGTTTTTTGGTGCTCTGTGCCCAATATTTCAGACGAGAGTCACCAATATAAAATAATGCTTGTGGAGTGACTTTGGGGCATCCATTTCCCCTGGATCTTTGTCACTGGAGCCGTTAAGCAATCTTTCAATGGTGCATCATGTTCCTTTTGTTCTAATGAATGGCAATGCTGGAACAGCCAATCTCTAACGTTCTAGCCCCTGACAGATTGGTGATCAGAGCAAAACAATTTCCCTTGACATCAAAAGGAAGAGGTGGCAGGGCTGCAGGTAAGGACAGAAGGCAGGTCTGCCTGGTACTGGCCTTCTACAGGAATTTCCACTGGCCCTATTGGATGGAGTCTCTGGCTGTCCACGTGTGCCTGAGGTCTCATAGGCACAGAGCCAAGTTCAAACACATTAAGGGGAATTCCCCATCCCAGTTTTCATGGGCAGTCTTCTTTGAGGTCGGTGGCGAATCATTTCACAGCTGACCAAAATACTTTTTGATAAAGATATTCAATTTTAGTGTTGAAATCCTAAAGTATTTGAACTATTCTAACAATCACCACCTGCATGAATTATTGTTTACTTTGTAGCTTTTCTTGAAGAATTTATAAGCAGTGGCCGTTTGAATGGAGCTGTGATTGGTGGCCGACAGGATAAGGCTGTTTATATTCCTGACATCTACTCGAGAACACAAAATAACTGGGTGGATTCGTTTTTCAAACAAAATGGCTATTTAGGTAAATTTTTAACATTATTAAAATATATTGTTGAAGTTGAACCTGAAGTTACAGATGGTCATTTTGTGATATAACGTAGATCTGCACATTCAGACCAACTTGTACAGCAGGTTCAGATTGACCAGTGCTCAGACTGGTGTAGATCTGCAATAGAAGTTGGAACATGCATTACATGCTTTTATGGATTCAAATATAAATCTGCCAAGAGTAGTTTGCAGTGTTTAGTTGAATGTTTGAGTTCTGACGGTCACCGGACCTGAAATGTTAACTCTGATTTTTTTCTTCACAGATGCTGCCAGACCTGCTGAGCTTTTCCAGCAACCTCTGTTTTTGTTCCTGATTTACAGCATCCGCAGTTCTTTTAGTTTTTAATTTGCAGTATTACTTTGGCTCAGGCAGTTATCATGCCGATGTTTCACCCTGATCTATTCCTAAGCAATTTTTTTGGTTAACGATTTACATCAATTTTGCTGGAAATATAAAATTATTTATGTTTGCCTTGACCCTTTATTTAGTTTTTGTTTTAAATTAAAACTTAGGCATGTCATACTGCATTTTTTCTATGTTTTCATTCTATTTTTCACAAAATAAAGGAATTGAATGCAAAGTAAGAAGTGTAAAGTAATTGAAGGTTCAGAATTCTAACCAGAAAATCTGAAACACAATACCATTAGTTTAAAGTAACAAAATTTGACTGGTTTCACTGACCTATATCTTTTCTGATCTATATAATTAGAGGCCTTGTACCTGGTTTAAAGTGTAGCCTTAAAAAGGGATGTCCCTAAAAGAGAATGGGTAGCCAACAGAACACTGAAGAGTTGAGTGTTTTCCTTTTTATTAGCGAAAACAGACATCACAGAGCAAACCAATCAACATTCTTTTCAGAATTTTTTCTCTTTTTTTTCTTCATTTGGGTCTGTGTTTAAATACTAAAATGAGATTACACAAAATTCTCTAATGTTCCAATGCAGTTATCTTGTGCGTTGGTGTGGAAGACAGGTGATCGAGCCAAAGTACAGTGAGGTCGTTGCAAAATGCTCTGTTGTCAATCTTAAATAATGCATCAGAGTTAATCGCTTAGCCATGGAATTATAGAATATGAAAAGACAATGGTAATTTGGGTCATCAGGTGTGCTTTTTTTTTTCTTCGCTTGAATTGCCTGACCTGATACTAGTTTTTTTTTCTGCTGTTATCATCAAGACAGTATTTGACTGAGTACAGTATCAAGAAGCCCTAGCAAAACCTTAGTCAATAGGAATGAAAGGAAAAATTCTTTGGTTGGAGTTATGCCTAGCACAAAGGGAGATGGTATTGGTTGTTGGAAGACAGTCATCTCCACCTGAAGGATATCTCTATAAGGGTTCCTCAACATAGTGTCCAAGACACAACTATCTTTAGCTGCTTCATCAATGATCTTTTCTCCATAATTAGGTCAGAAGAGAGGATTTCACAGATGATTTCACAATGTTCAGCACCATTCGCAATGACTGTGGTACTGAAGCCTCCCCTGTCCAAATGTAACAAGACCTGGGTTCTGTCTAGTCTTAATTAAATCTGAAATAGAAAAGCCAAAGTGCTGGAGAAACTCAGCAAGTCTGGCAGCATCTGTGGAGTGAGAAACAAAGTTAACATTTTGACTCCAGTAAGACGCTGCCTCAGAGGGCTTTTCCAGGCTTGGACTGATAGTGTCATGTAATTTTCGTGCCACACAACTGACGGGCAATGACCATCTCCAACAAGAGAGAATGTAACCATCACTACCTTGACATCTCATGGCATTAACATCACTGAATCCCTCACTGTGCACACCCTGGGTTTCACCATTGACCAGGAACTGAACTGAACTAGCTGTAGAAATACTGTTTTCAAGAGCAGATTAGAGGCTAGGAAACCTGCATGAGTAACTAGTTTTCTGCTTACTCAAATCCTGTCCACCATGACTTTTGTAGATTCATGTAGCATTCTATCACCCAGATTTTTCTTGGAGATCTACCCAAAACATCTTCAGAAATTTGTATACCATGTTTTGATGCAAATTGGGAACAACTTGGAGAAATTTTCTGCTGTATGATTATACCTAAATTTTGATTCTTTAAATTTTGTTTTTCTGATTACTTGGACTGCTTCTCATTTTGTTTCTATTATTACCTGCTATTTTAGTGGTTGAGCTGAAAAGAATGTAATTTTGAGCTTGCATTGATGAGAAAGCAATCATTATCCTTTGTAGGATTTCATTTTGTAACATCTAACTCACTTCACGTTTCATTTTGTTTTTGGCAAAAGACGTAGAAAAGCACTATTCCAGATTATAGACCGAAAACAAAATTAACTAGATGAAATCCTGCTGGTTAAGTTTATATTCATTCTACGACCCAGCACATGGGGTGCAGATCCTTGACAAATAAAATCATATTTATCATTTGATATATTGGAATTTTTAGATCCAACCAATTGTCAATTCCTGCACATGTTTATCTTGCAT